CCCACCACCACAAGGGAAGGTATATAAGGACTGCCCCCACACATCGGAGCTCAGAATCGGAGCTCATAGCCCTGAAGATGCAGACTGCAATGTTTGCGAAACGTCGGCGCAATGCTGAAACTCAACGCGGCATCCATCCGGAAGCCAACCAAGTCAATGTATTTGAAGTTATTTATGAAATGTATTGTGATCGTGTCATCAGATACCCCAAGTTTGCGTATGGAGGTATGGAAAGGCCCCTTTATTCACCCAATTTGAACCCGTGTGACTTCTTCTTATGGGGCTTCCTGAAAGATAATGTTTATGCGGAAAAACCGGAGACTAAAGATGATTTGAAAAAAACCACCAGAGACGGAATTTCTGGTCTTTCTCATCTCAGATTGAACAAGTTTTTCATAGTTTCCGAAAATGGCTTAATTATTGTGCAAATTCGATTGAAGATCACTTCGAAAATATTTACCATTAATAGTTATCTCCTGGCTCAGTTTGTTAGTTTTTTAAAAATCTCAATAATTATCTATTAGAAGTATCTGATTCAACTGAAACTAATTCCAAACAAAAATGACATATTTACTCAATTCATATGTATTTTTCTTTTTTTGTTCCTGGCACTCATTTCAAAGTTATAAACGATTAGTTTAGGTAACTTCCTAATTGTCACTCTGTACGATGAGAGGCATCCAACGCTGCATGAAGTTGATTCATTTTTCCTTTGTTTTGACCAAATCAGCCGAATCTGAAAAGTGCACGTGAGAATTAATTCACCGACAGTCACACGACCATCCGAGCAGTACAACGTCCGGTGTGCTCAGCAATAATCCATTGAGTGGAGCATTAGTGAGCATTGATCCCTCTCTTATCGCTGATTTCAATTCATTATGAATAGCGTTTCATTTCAATCAAGTTTATGGTCGAGGTCCGCCGTGAGTACTACGATACTAGGCGCTATGTCTGAGGCGCCTGCCAATCATGTTTTTTCGCGCTACGGCACTAAACGTCGTTAAGCGTTTGAATTTCCCGAGTGCCGTGCCACGGGGTTGACGAGGGAAATGGCACGGAGAACTTCTGAAATGTGCATGTGACTACAGGAGATTTATGTATGAAATTTCACTTGAACTAAAAGATTCTACACGCACTAGTCTTATTGATATTATAACACATTGATTTCCGAGGTAAATTACTCCGAGAAACGCACTGAGTCACAACCAACAATTTGCAAAGGGGAAACTTAATTCTCACCGCGTGGTAGACGCGTTGTAGATCCGTCACCCCCGAAGTTTACACTCGGTTACGCGATTTATTCCACAATTTATTGATGAATACGAGTTGATTTATTTCCATGTCAGACATTTCGACTCTACCGAAAAAGCCGACCAACCACTGAATTGTGTTTAACTAGTTAAATGTCCCACCAATCCGGCTCGAACAACCATGTTCACGATTGCCTTTAGAATCTGAATTGTTATTTATTTTGCCGCGGATATTTGATCACGAGCTGCCGGGATGGCGAGAACTAATTAAACACCAATTAATAAAAACAGTATTCAATTGCACAACTCAAGTTATACAGGGGATCCGATTTGAAACAGAACGGCTCAATATCTCTTGTAAGAAGGGAGGAATAGCAAAATTGTTTGAATACAAGTTGTAGGGTTCGGCGGGGGAAACTTAGTCCTAATTGAAGCCAGGCCCCCATTGCTTACGTTTCTATGCTACGAGCATAAAGTCGGTTTTTTTAACTGACAACAATATTTTTCACCCCTACAAAAGTTGTTCGTCTCGCCGAGAAAAGTTCAACCATACTATATTTTGCGATGACGTCATCGTTTTCATGTGAATAATCGTACGAAAATCAAATTAACGGAAAATATCTTTATTATCTGACTATCTTACAAGTTCTATTCCACATACGGTACATGTGTCTTCGTGTAAGTATCGCGAACCGTAATTACAGAAGATGTTCGACGTTACCGCCATTCACTGCGAGGAACAACTCCAGGAGAACTTCAGACGGAATGTTAACGATTGCTTGTCTGATCCGTCTCTGCAAATCCGCCGGAGTTGTCGGTCGATAGGTGTACACAACATCTTTCACGTAACCCCAAAAATATTAGGTGTATGACTTAATTCTCCGCCCCTAAATTAAGTTGATTGGAACACCGATTTGAATTTAAAAATTTCCCTGCAATAAGGGGCGTTTTGAAGCGCCATCTGTGAGCTATCAAACTACTCACGTCCGTTTCAGGTCCGATTAACACAACCTCAAAAAGCATAGTAAATAAAAATGTCGTTCGAGAAGCAGCACTTGAGGCACTCCCTTCTTTTCATCTTCCAACTTGGAAAAACTGCCGCAGAAGCACAAGAAATGATTTGTTCGGCCTTGGGACAGAGGGCTGTATCTTATAGAACGTGTAAAAAGTGGTTTTAAAAATTTCGGGATGGAAATTTTGATCTCCAGTGTGAAGAACGTCCTGGGCAACCAAAAAAAGTTGAGGGCGAGGACTTGGACAACCAACTCAATAAAAATCTCTGGCAAACATAACAGGAGCTTGCTGTCCGAGTGACTCAATCAGCTGTTTCGAAGCGTTTAAAAATAATCGGGAGGATACAGAAGGAAGGTCGTTGAGTGCCCCATCATCTTACCTCAGAAAACAAAAGTCGAGGCTGTGAAATTACCATGTGCCTACTGACCAGATTCTGGACTGGAGATGAAAAGTGGATATTTTAGGACAATCCTAAGAGGCGAAAGTCGTGGGTTTATCCGGGGGAGCCGTCAACGAGTACTGCAAAACCGGACATTCACGGGAAAAAAATTTTGTTGTGTATTTGGTGGGATTTCAAAAGTGTAATCTATTATGAGATACTCGAACAGGAGGAAACCGTCACTGCTAAGCGTTATCAGGACCAATTGAGGAAAAGAGACCTTTTACTTGTAGTGGTACGAGGCGAGTAATTTTGCTGCAGGACAACACGCGGTCACACACAGCAAAAGAAACCCTGAAAGTCTCCACGAAAATCTCCACGTTGGGCTGGGAAATTCTCCCACATGCAGCGTAATCTCCAGACTTTGCGTCTTCTGACTATCACTTTTTTCGGGCGCTACAACATCACCTGGTGGATACCCAGTTCCAATCTCCTGAAGAAGTCCGGCAGAGCATCGATGATTTCATCCAGTCAAAACCACCATTTTTTTTCCGAGCCGGAATCCGACAATTGCCCGATAGATGGGAAAAATGCATGCAAAGTGACCGCAATTATTTTTAAGATTAGATCTGTATTCATTTTTTTATAAATAAATGTGAAAATTATCGATAAAAGGCCGTGAATTAAGTCATACACCTAATAAAAATCGAGTGGGGTAAGGTCACCCCACCTAATACCTAACTCTTACAACACCCCAACACCTAGCTCTACAACGCTCTAGGTGTTGGGGAATAACACTCACCTCTTCAGACGTCCCTTACCTACCTCAGTCATCTTTTGTTTAGATGGTACATTGACAAGAGAGTAAATAAATAACATTCCAGCGTTTCTGAGTGGCAAGATAGTCTGAATAAAGATATTTCCCTTTCGTTCGATTTTCGTACCATTATTCACATGAAAACGATGACGTCATCGAAAAATATGGTACGGTTGAACATTTCTCGGCGAGACGAACAACTTTTGTAGGAGTGAAAAATATTGTCGTCATTTAAAAACACTGACTGATTTGAAACACTGACTTTATGCTCGTAGCATAGAAACATAAGCAATGAGGGCCTGGATTCCATCAGCACTAAGTTTCCCACTCCGAATCCTACACCTCGTATTTGAACAATTTTGCGGTCCCCCCCCCCCTTCCTACGAGAGATATTAAGCCGTACTGTTTAAAATGGGACACCCTGTATACACTTTTGATATTATATCAACGTAAATATAATTCTCATTCACGGCGTTACGATTAACTATCTCAGAGTCCAAAAGTTAACTGCCCAATTCGACACGCTGACCCGTTGATCGGGCGATAACCGTGAATTTCGGGGCTCCCGTGATTGCTTTTAAGTGTTAACGCGGTTATTATTCGCGATCGCGTACAACTTGAATCAAGTCGAAAATCGACTACAACCAAGCCCACGTCGACTTGGATTAGTATTCTTCTTCTGGGTGATAAATGTTCTCCTGAAAATCATTCTTGGAAAATTGTTTCTTTGAAAAATGTTTTCCACATTTTATTTTTCCACGCCAATTTCTGTTTTTATCGTTATTTCATCAAATATTACATAATGTAAAATAGGAAAGAACATTTTTAACATATGACTTTTCAAGCCATTCTGGGGGCTTATTCTAGATTTATGTGAAGACGAATTCGTGTATAGAATGCGTCGCCGTTCACGGATCGTCTGGAGGATTACCATGGGTAACATATTTCTCTAGACGGTATCTCCCAAAAAATTTGGATAGGATGTTGAAATTTGCTGAGATTGTGGTTCTTATGATATTATATCAGAATGGGATTGTGAGCCGGCGAAATTGGATAGGTGGTTTAGAAAATATTCAACTTGATGCGAAAAACTCTTTTGCTCTGAGAACTAAAGTAATGGTCACATGGCTTCTGTCAAGTAGGCTTGCAATCCTATTTGTTTTTTATCTTCTACCAGTATTTTCATAATTTAAATGTGTTCTTTTTCAGTTAGGGGCCATCGCCCTGAATTTGGGAGTTCTCGTGTCGTCAATTTATGAGAGTATCTACGCACGGCGAGATGGAGACCCAACCAAATTGAAAGACATCACTGCTATGAGATCAACTACCATCAATAATCCAGGCTATCGAGAGCATCCGCCTACGAATGGTAAAATTTCTTTATATCTTTCTTCCCAAGTAATTTTTGTCTTTCATGTTTGCATAAAAATCGTATCATACAGTTTGGTGATGAATTATCTGTCATTAAATGTGGGTTTACAGAGACCCGGCGAAAATAATTCGTTTGAAGAAACAGCTGGTTGTCCCCATAGTGCACTTATTTACATGGAGGTATCCCTTAATATATTTTCACCTGGGCATAAGGTATCTCTACAGATTTGAACAGAAACCGAAGAAATCTCGTTATTAAAAGAAGAAACATGGAAATTTCCAAATAGGGACATGTTAAAATCGTTATATTACCGGTTATAACAATGGATCTAATAAATGGCATAGATAATATGGGGTCTTAATTTCAAGCAATTGATGAGACCTTGAAATCGATATGATATATCCCCGTCGGTCAAGTCCAAAGCCTACACAAGTGGCAAAAACAGTCATTTGCGAGGTGTAACATAACGTATCAATCTATAATAACTTACTGAAAAATGAACTGAATCAGATTCATCATATACCATTTTGAAGAATACTAAATGCTCTTCAAAATGATACGTAAATATTCTTGTCTAGTCCACATAGAAGCATTGAAAACTTCACCCAAACGTGATTTTCTAAGTGAAACATGAAAATTCAATTTTCACCTAAAACTCTTACAAGTTCATTAAAAATTGGCACAATTGAGCGAATCATTTTAAAGCTTATTCAATAAGATTACAATTGAGTACATTAAATGTATAGTTTATGAAAAAGGAAAAAGAACTTGAGCATAGGAAGCAAGGGAAACACCTTGGTTACTGGCATGGATTTTTCTATAGGGAATAGTAAATTTTTTTAATAGTCGATTTTTTAAATTAGCAGTAAATTTTTGGTGGGTGGCGGGAATGATCCTGCATTCTATTTCTCATATTAATTCATTGAATGATCAAACTCATGAAACGTATTGGTGTGAGCATGGTAAGGGTGCAGCCAATGAGTGCGCATGACATAGATGTGTGCTATAGCGGCAAAGTGTTGATGTATCTATGAGCTCGCTCGGCAGACACGTATCAATCATTTATTTGGTTGCGCTGTCACAATGAACGCAAAATCTGAACTCTCAAAAAGATTCTAACTAAAAATCTAATTTAATCCGCGAAAATATCAAACTCCGACTCAAGAGTCTCTGATGACTCGTTTCGCTGAAGCGAATAGGTAGGTTGCGTGTTGTGACATTGTCTGGTATTTCTAAAATTTCGGGCAATGTGAAAAGGTGCGTGTTGAGACAACAAGTGACAATCGACGTGAATTCTTTAATCTCTCGAATATTCAAAATATATTTATTTCGGTTATGGCAGTAAACTCGAGATGATCCTCAATAATAAGGGAAATAGTTCGTAAACAATACATTCCTGAGAACTCTTCACCCTTCAGAAGCACGCAGTCCCATATACACCGTTACTCATTTATTGTCCGGTGTGCTCGTGCTTGATCTAATTTAATTACTGTATTGTGGGGAAGAGGATATTATACAGTACAAAGAAAGATTATCGAGTTAATGAACAGTCTGTGTTCTAAAAAATAGAACTTAACTAAATTTATAAACAGAAAAACAAATGATTTTGTTACAGGCGGGTCGTCACCCAAAATAATAATAATAGAAATAGCCTATCGTTCAATAAGAAAAATGAAAGAAAGAAGAATAATCAATAATAATAATAATAATAATAGGTGGCGTGCCCATCGCCCAGTTAGGGAGTTCTGGTCCCTGGAGTCCCAGTCGTCTCCAGGGGTCTCCTCCCTGCCGCAGTAGCCACGGTGGTGTCGGCCTAACCAGCCGGCCCCAACTGTACCCGGTTCCGTCATCGAGCCGAGGCAGAGCCCCCCACAACCGGTCCCTCTCGGATGGGGACTGTGGATCAGTTGGGAGGGGCCGACGATCTGGAACCAATGGTAACGACCCGGCTGTGCAAAGTATTAGGTGGACGGAAAAACTCAAGGAGGACCTCATGCAGTCTTGGCAAGACTGTGAGCCAGCGCGGAAAGGCTATATGGCGAGAATGAGAGTCTTTTGGTGTGTGTTATGCACCCTGAGTTCTCGCATTTCTCAACTCAACATCTGAGAGATCAAGCCAGACGCTTGCGCCGCCAAGGATATGATTTGCTGGTTGTTCGACGAGAGTCGGTGGGTCTTCATCTTCCTGATGTACCTCAAGAGGGTGATGATCTCCAGCCAGAGCGGGCGACCCAGCAGAACAGCGAAGAATCAATGAGGACCACCCGAGACATAAGAGCAAGACGAGAAAGAGTAACTGGGAAGTTTCGTCGTCGGCTTCAACAACTGGCGTTTGAGAATGAGGTTTTGACCGCGGGACTCCCTCCGGATGTCAATTTGCTCGACCTGAACTGGGCTGTGTATGATGCGGCTCTTCGTTTGAAGCTTCATCCCCCAAGTGTGGGGTCATGCGAGGTGAAAACACAGAGGCACATTGCGCAGCTTCAGGCGAAGATCGAAGAGGCTAGGAAGCAGGCATCGCGCATTCAGTGTATGATTGAGTTCATCATCATTGGCAGACCTTTTACGGCTCGCGTCCGTAAAATATCTGCGGGTTTGCGCTATCACCATCACACACTGAATAAGGCAGTCTTTTCAGCTGACATTTTCTTTCTTGAAGTCCACTGGCTTGATGTCCGAGACTGAGGATTTCATCTGCGCATGTCAGGATGGTGTAATAAATACCCTGGTCTATCGAAGCTGTGTTATGGGGTTGCAAGTTCCTGATACCCGGTGTCGGGCTTGCGAACCATTCCACGAAACTCTGATGCATCTCCTGTCGGCCTGCCCGAGATATGCTCTCACAAGTTATATTCATCGTCATAATGCGGCCCTAAAAGTGCGTTATTTCCATCTGCGGCACTCCTATGGAATAGACAGAACGCCACTGCTGCCATATGCTCTAGGAGATATTGAGTCCGTTGTCGTGAATGAGAGGTGTAAGATTTACTGGAACTTCTCCTTCGCGACCGTCAGGCCAATCGTTGCAACAAAACCTGACGTCGTTCTCTACGATTTTGATAACAAAATCATCTATGTCATCGAGTTTTCAGCTCCTGCTGAGAGCAATATCACGGTAAAAGAAGAGGAGAAACGGCTTAAGTACCAGCCGCTTCTGTTTGAGCTACGTCAAGCAAATCGGGGATTTAAAGTGAAGTTGGTTGTTCTCATTATTGGTTCTTTAGGGGGAATGAAACAGCCATTTATATCTAAGCTCGAAACCATCCCGGCCTGTAGGCGTCAAGCCTTTATGTTGGCTAGCCAAATACAAAAGGCCGTCATCCTTGGGTCTCTTCGTCTACTTAGACAGCATGATTCTGGACTGCAATAGAGCTTACCATCCGGTTGGAGGGAGCACTATTGCAGAGCGATTAGGAAAAATTTGTTACGCTTAGCTTGCTGGGCGGTCTTCGAGGTGAAGTCGGAACCCTCGAGGATNCAGCCATTTATATCTAAGCTCGAAACCATCCCGGCCTGTAGGCGTCAAGCCTTTATGTTGGCTAGCCAAATACAAAAGGCCGTCATCCTTGGGTCTCTTCGTCTACTTAGACAGCATGATTCTGGACTGCAATAGAGCTTACCATCCGGTTGGAGGGAGCACTATTGCAGAGCGATTAGGAAAAATTTGTTACGCTTAGCTTGCTGGGCGGTCTTCGAGGTGAAGTCGGAACCCTCGAGGATCACTGAGCGATCCCATTTACATGGAAAAGATAATAATAATACAAAATGCCGGAAACTCCGGCCCACTCTACTCGATACAGTCCAAAAGAATTACGATGCAAAAATATCTGTTGAATTGCTATCCGGAGAAACACCGAATAGGCTCAGCTGTTCATTTATTAATTCCCCAAGAACAAATGTACGGTGAGCAGGTCCGTAGACACTGCCTAGGCTTCTACAATACCTCTTACCCGCGATACTAGCCGAGATATGTCCTCTCTCTCCATTGCGCCTCCGGAGAACAACGATACAAAGGAAACGAAAATAAAATAATAAACCCAATTAATAATATCGCAGAATATACCGTAGTTAATGCCAATCGATTAGTGCTAATATTATCTGTAGCTAAGACGCTCGTAACGCTTACAATAAATTATTGTATTTCACTCTGGCAAGCACCGACTGGACGGCCACGCGGTTTTATCAACATGGAGTTGATAGCCTCTATTCGCAATGAGATTCCTCCTATCAGGGAAGCTGACAGGAGCTTCAATGAGCCTCAAAATGATCTCGTACTCACTAATGACGCCGTCGCACCAATGACAATATTTAATATGTGCACACTCACTCTAATCATTCGTCCTGACTCAATATTACGCCTCGGCTCTGTCCTTCGCCACGTGATCGCCCGATGAATAGAATATTCGCATGTATATTCGCCGCCTGTATTTCGCCTTGGAATTGCCCTCAGTCGCCTCAAAAACCTCCGGATAAGGTCCGGAGAACCTTGTTCCCACCTCCGTTGTCGAGTCTGCACGAAAAGCTTCTTAATTGGACCCACACAATAGATACAAAAATTAGAGAAACTTAAAGCGATGCAAAGCGATTGACAGCAGAGATGGAAGTGAAGATGAAGGCGGAAATCGTCATTGCCCTCTCAATCTCATACTGTCTCACTCCATTTCTCTCGGGCCTTGACATTCGTCCTGAATTTGAATAGTAACCAATCCCGGCCTCATTTGCATATTTCGCCGGCCCCGTGCTGTCCGGTGGTGCCGTCTATTCTCTGAGGTGCGTATCCCCGGTGGTCAGGTGATCTGTGATGTCTTTCCGGTGTAGAGGGTTACCTTGTAGATGGGCCTCAACGATTACCCATACTATTGACGGTTTGCATGTGTGTGTTTGGGTGAGCTCCGGAACGTGCTGCGCCCTCGTGGAATATTCTTTTGGGTCCGCAGGAGATCTGAATTACCCCACGGGACAATGTTATGACAAGTGTGAAGGGCGTGACTGTGTGA